TTCTTTGTTTTAGGTCTAATGTAACTCGGCTGTAGCCGTGAGACTGAACAACGTTGAGAGCGCCAGTTTTAAAAAGGCTTCCAGTATCTCAGCTGCCGCCATTTTATTTAAAAAATTTAAAAACAAATATTTTTTTCCTTAAAGAGTTGCTTAATAAATGCCTTATTTTTAATTTTGTATTTATTTTGTTATGTCTTCAAAAAAATGTCCGAAAATGACAGTGATTTTGACCTGTCCAAGGTGGCCTAACTCCTTAAATCATCAAATGTGTTCAGGTTTATATTATTTGCTTTAAAACGTGAGCTGTTTTGTGTCGAAAATTACTTGTATCTTTAAATTAAGTGCGATAAATCATATAAATAAGAAAATATATAATTGTAGAACTTAGCTACATAATATTTACCTTGCCACTGATTTTAATCTTTGAAACTGTTGCTTTAAACATTTTATAACTTTACTTAAAATATAAATTAAAAATTCTACAGCATTATTCCTATCTTATATATTTACTTGATATCAATCATTAAACGAGAAAAAAATAATTAAGATTATTTTAATACTTGAAACAATAATATTTTTTAATACAAATAAACATATATAAATAGAATATCGAAAAGATAGCGATATTATGATATACTCAAGCAGGTTGGCTAACGTTACAGTTTTTGAATGGTATAACCCAGAGATTTAAGGAACCAGTGTCGAACTATTTTAAAATTTTGCGGCGGAGTTCCAATTGTAATAGCACCATAGTACTGGATATTCTTATAATTAATCAGAGGTACAGTTTTTGTAGCCAAACAAAGTTGTATCATATTATTGCCCGTCGAAGATTTTTCAACGGTGTATGTCCTGTATAACGGAATCCTTGAAAAAACATAAGAAAAATTTCATTATTTATACGCATATAAACGCGAATGTACAAATATCATTCAAAATAAATATAAGTTTCGGATATTTTAATTGGTCATTTTGAAGCACTTTTTATTTAAAAACTATATTAAAGCCACAACATTTTGGTATTGAGAAATAAGTGCTACCTGCATTTATGAATTGACGCATTAAAATGTAGTTTAGGTATTTTAAAAGCAAATTTCTCTTTTTATAACGTTAATCTTTTTTAAGATCTTCGAAGGGATCCTCGAAGCATCTCTCTTATAATTAGTCTGCTCACTTTATCCAACTTTTAAAATGCATTTTTCTTTATACAGATTTGGTACAATTATTGTATTTGAAATTGATTTGGTACAATTGTTGTATTTATTGAAGTATTTCAAGTATTTCACAGATCGCGAATTCTGCGATGATTCCAAGAAGTTAGAAACGCGATCTCTATACGGTATTTATCGTGTCGATATAAATGAGGAGTGTTTGTACATTATAGTATGTACTCACCTATGCAACTCCGTGTCGATTATAACACGAAGTTGATTATCACGATTGCAACAGAAAGTCGATATATATTTCCCGAATATTTCGACGACTAAAGCTACAAAAATCAAGAAGATTTTAGAAGCGTTATAACTCCGAATCACACACACACACACACACACACACACACACACGCACACGCACACGCACACGCACACGCACACGCACACGCACAC